CCGCGGTGCTGTCGTTCGTGTCCTTCTTGTGTCGTGGTTGAATGTGGTTATGAGGTGTGCAGGCAATAGGTCGGGACTGAAACAGTCTAATTGGGCCCTTGAAACCTTAGCATCTTTAATCTGTGCTTTGTCGAAATTAACTCTCATTTTTGAGTGCATTACTCATGGTCGCTCCTATGCAGCTATTCATTCAGTAAGGGTCGCATTCATTCCGATTACTCAAAAATTCGCTTTTTCCTCATTTCAATGTGCTTATGTCCGCTCTTTTTTCTTATACGTCTAATTGAGTCGTGAAGTTCTAGTTACAGCTGTGGAAACTTAGTAGAGTTTCTAACAAGTTCCCCACAGCTGTAACGCGAAGAAGAAGCATGATTCTGGGATGGTTTAAGAATATTCCAATATAGCAGGCATCCTATCCTATGGGGGACTTTCCCCGAAATTATTGTCATTAGGAGGTCGGTCAGTCAGGCTAGATGAAGATGATTCCCGGAAAGTCTTCTCTTACAAAGAATGCATCTATGTGGTTTGTGCTACTGTGCCACGTCCCACTTGAGTGAGCAAATAGTAAGCCCAAAAATCGTACATGAAAAGAAAATGTAATAGTAATGAGGCGATTGGAAGTGAGGTTGGTTGGCCAAGGCTTTTCCCGTCGTGACAAAGTGATTACGCCTGTGCCTTTGCCAGTAAATGTGAGGATTGCTATTTGATTGTGGTACTGAAAATTCGTCTTTTTCTATGATTTCTAAGGCTGCAGAAGCTTTTGTTTTATCATTTGGTTTGTAGATGAAGAGGATCTTCGGTACGGGAAAGAAGGAACCACCACCAGACTTGAATGCTGCCGTAGCCAATATCGAATCCAGAGGTGAAAGCATCGAGAAGAAGATCGCGAAATTAGATGGGGAACTTGTGAAGCTTCGTGATCAAATGGTAAAGATGCGGGAGGGGCCCAGTAAGAATATGATAAAGCAGAAAGCACTGAGGTCTGTCGGATTTTGTTTCTCCTCTTTTGAATATCTATTTTGAACACGTTGTTTTTGAGGATATTGAAACAAAAAAGGATGTATGAGAACCAGAAGGCTCAGCTCGATCAGCAGGCTTTCAATGTCGACCAGAGCAACTTCGCAATTCAAGGGATGAAAGATACTCAGGTAGGCGTTCTGTTTTTTTTTTNTGGGTGGGATTTATTCAGGTAACAGTTGCTGCAATGAAGACTGGCTTGAAGACAATGCAGAGAGAATATAAAAAATTGAATATCGATAAGGTGGGCTTTCTTGATAGTATTGAGAGTAAAATGTCTATTTTTCTTTTGTTTAGATCGAAGACCTGCAAGATCAAATGGAGGATATGTTGGATATGAACAACGAGATTCAGGAGGCGATGAGTCGACAATATGATACACCAGATGTGGGTGCTAACAGCGCTATTTGTTTTAATGTATTTCATGCCGTCGTTTCTTGTAGTGACTTTGTTGGTGTGGTAATGGCTTTCCTGAAAATCTGATCCCCCAAACCTCGCTCGTGGGCTTTCGCCTTTGGGATTGCTGTAGATCACTAGAACATACATGCTTCAATTGTTAACATGAAAGCTTGGTTCAGATCACCTTCTGACCTGGGTCAATCCCTGGGATGAAGAAAATAGCATTACACAACGAGGATGGAACTCCATTCTTCACCACCTCCGAACTCTCTCACGTCATTAATCAGTCTTTTTTGGGCAGACCTACATGTTAAATGAGATCCGGTGGTCGAACGCGGTTACTATGACTAGTCTAAAATGAATCAGTCAAGGTGGAAAGGGTATAGGCTTAATTTCCCATAATGACAAATTCCTTCCAGATTGACGAAGCTGATCTCGAGGCTGAGTTGGCAATGTTGGGAGATGAGTTGGATCTCGGCGAAACCGACACCAACTATCTTGATGAAGCCCTCAATGCACCTGGCGTGCCAGCATCGAAGCCAACTAGTTCCAAGGTATTATTCGGTTTTCATTCGTATTTGAAAGTTTGATTGTATATATTATATGTATATTTATATACTTTTATATTTTTATATATGAAACTTGCTAAAATTTCAGGTGGCAGAAGGTCTCGAAGTGGACGAGTTTGGTCTACCGAAGATTCCTGCTTGATGGCAGAAGATTCATATTTGTACAGTGTCCCGGTTCATTTTTTGACAAATTACTTAATAAATTCGATTGCGCTCGACGTTACTTTAGCAACACGGCTTCCTCGCTTTAGGAATACAGGCGCTACTGCTTTTGCCTTTCATAGCTTATTAGTGAATAGACACGAAAAATGTTTACCCGGAAGATTTCTTGAGCTAAATGAACTTTTTTTTTGTTAGGACTCGGTTCAGTAGTGTTTCCTTGGTTCTAGAACATGAGTGCCATTTTTTTCAGTTGTGTTGCAGTCATTAATGTCACTTCTCATTGAGTGAGTACGATAAGTATTTTAAAGAACATTTGTCAGTTTAGATTTGAACTTGTTCATCTTATGTTACAACTGCAATGACAAACGTGGTTGCGTTGAACCTCGAAGAGAATAGTAGAATTCAAAGTTTAGCGTAGTACTGTTCTGGAACAACAATATCCGGGCATTGCCGAATCTCCTCTATCGATTGGCAGCCTGAAAACAGGATATGAGAGAGTGGTGATGTGAAATAGTAGGATCAGCGCTAACCGGCAAGTTGCATTGTATGGGCAAATTCTGTCTGCAACATTCTGATCACTTCGGTGACACCTTTTGCACCCTGGAAATGGCTTTCTGATAAGGAGTAATAATAACTCTAGATTATTGGGAGCTGATGTAGCCGTCTACCATAGAAGGGCACCAATTCGTTTAACTGACTGTAATGAGGTGTGCACATCGGTGGGCAATATGATACGCGGAACATGAATTACCCCAAGAAAATGATGGACGATTTGTATGAACTTATGAACAGTGCTGTGATCTCTGAGTATTTTCCTTTATATTTAAAAATAATATTTGGAGAATAGGCGAGTACCATCCACAGCAATGTGAGGAATGATTACTGGCAAAGGTTCGACGTTTAGAACGTTGCTTTGCAAGAGTCGGTTCCTTGTATTTTTTTTCCTATTTGTATGACCCTATTAGAACAGTACCAATGGAGTGCATAAAGGACATACAGAACATAGAGTTTTTGAGGTTGTAACCTTTCCCTCTACTCACCTTGTTAGAGTGTCCTCTCACCCTATTCAAGAGGGTACTTGAGTGATACCGCGGGGGAACATCGTTCATGAGATTCTAGCTCCGTATCTCAAGTGGTTTACATAGCCTCGGGGACCAGCTTATTAACATGATTCGTCTGAGTTTAGAGGCGAAACGAATCATAATATATTAAATCTCTACTGTACTGTTTCTCCCTCTATTTCTCTCTTTTTTCTTTCTACCCTTCATTCTAAAGAACTTGACTGGAACTGACTGGAACTTTAAGTTACGAGAATATGCATCTTATCACAATGGTCCCACTCTGATGCTTGATGAGCGTTCATTTTTACCTCAACAGAAAGACCCCATAGTATTGGACGTCCTACGAAAACTCCACTAGCTCCAAGCGCTATAGCTTTGAACACGTCACGACCATTCCGAATTCCTCCATCGTTGAACACCTGAAAATATTGAAACGCAGTTCTAAATGGAAGTCGGGGTGCTTCTCAGTGGAGATTTCATGCACCCTTCAGTGTAACCTTCGAACAGTTCAGCTCGAACTCGGTTTTAAAACTGGAAAGTTAACCACTCACCGGAACTCGTCCCTTCACCGAACGTACTACTTCTCCTAGTGCTTCGATCTGAAAAAAAAGATTATATTTAACGGAAAGGAGACGCAAGCAAAGCTAGCCATACCACAAAAACGAAAAAAAACCCTTGTTTGATGGGTATGCAAAAGGTCATTTCATATGCAAAAGAGGAATTTCGTTCGAGTATGAAAGATGGCACAGAAATGTGGGTAGACGAAGCCAGAGAAATCGTAGGCTATATCAACTGTGAACCTTGGCTCGTATGCCTTATTGGGACGCAAAGCGTTAGTCAACCTTTCACATCCTTGCCTAAAGCAGTGTTGCTGTCTCCTATATGTGACAGGATTACGATATGTGTATTGAAATACGGCTGTATCGCAGAGTGAAAAGTTGTCGGAGAACCTCTGCCTATACTATTATACATTTTATTCCACCATAAGATTACTGTAAGAGCCGGGTTCTCGTGAGAAGTTTCGTTTCTCTGATGAAGAATGAATACAGATTGGCCCTATTGGGCGTCTGCGGCTTGTCGATGTTTAAAAAATGGTCAGAGAGATGTCAAAGTGGGTGGAGGGGGGGGGGGGGGGGGGGGCATGTCATGAAGTCATAAAGGCGCAGTTCGGGATGGTTTAGGATCAGTGGTTTCGGGAAGTGCTGTTCGAAGTAGGTAGTTCTCCCTATATTCAAGGAACGCTCAGAAAACAATAAGAAAAAACCTATTACTCAATTGAAGCCGAACCGTCTTGAGGGAGGACGCAGACGAAGGAAAAATTCCAAGAGAATCTTGTTCAGCGCTATCTACTGAGCGGCAATTTTACCGAAAGGAGGACATTGTAGTACTTTTTACCCTGAGAATGTCCCACACGGCGCCTGGAAGCGAAGTTTCTTATCGTGAGGAATCTGCCAACCTTCTCTCGAAGTTACCTGTGCTTCCGGAGTATCTAGTGAAAAGATGGGAACGTGAAAATTGTCCCAAAAGTGGCCAGTAAAAAGGTGGGATACATTCGAAAGGAAGTGAAAATAATGTGACTGACTGTAGCCGGTGCGCTGTCCATCTGCCGTCCACCATGATTAGATACGATGATTCCATGAACTCCTCGACGGACAGCTTCTTCAGCATCATCGCCCCGCATCACACCTTTAATAATGATCGGAAGCTTCGTCGTTCTGGAAAGGAAATGCAACCGTGCAGGATCAAAATATAATAACTACTGTAAACAGACTCGCCTTAACAGCCAGTCGATAACATCCCAATTGAGTGACGGGTCAATCTGGCTTGAGACGTACTGCATAAAACCAGATGCTCCAACTTCCGTTGATGGCATCACTGATGATTGCAAAGTGGAGAAGTTTGCGAACCGAAAATGAAACTCTCATTGCTATTCTAGGGTATGGTAAGTGCCAAGATCTCCTACCTCAATCCATCAGGAAGAGTGAACCCATTGCGGATATCAGGCAGACGTCTTCCTAGGACTGGTGTATCCACAGTGAGTACCAGAGCTTTACATCCGCATGCTTCTGCTCTCGAGACTAGACCCGAAGTTATCGTCTTGTCTTTGTAGACGTACAACTGAAGTGTTCAATCGAGTAGTTCTCTAACCACTGGACAAGGTTAGTGAAAGGGGATTTCAAGCTGATACTTTACTTGATCTCTTTTTCCCCTTCTTGAGGAGCCTAATTTTGGTTATTGGCAAAACAGGGATGCGCAGAATGATTTTACAGAGTGTGATGGCGCCTCCCAAGTCCAAGACCCTTTGTCATCACCTCAATAGGGGCCAGGAGTGACTGTATAATTCAGAATCAATGATTTACAGATGCAAAGTAACCAGTACTTGCTCGTCGTTAGACTCACCCACGGCAGGGAAACGGGAGTTGCATATAATTGCAAAGCCTACAGGGAGAAAGAGCAAGAGGACATCAACGCTTTTCTGCACCAATATGGTGGAACCAACAGAAATTGCTGATTTGTTATTTCTCCTTTTCCCTGGAGCTCGCTCCACGCCTTTGCAAAATCCGTTGTTTCAAGAGATTCATATATCGTAACAAGGTTATGCCTTCAACTTGAAGGCACACTTAACTATAACTTTAGGTTATCTTGCTTTACTTAAAAGTATACAACCTCTACAAAGTCGTCAGAACTCGTCTGCCTGGGGTGTGCACGTCAGCTAAGTCGGTTTTGGGACCTTTATTACGCCCTATCCATGCCGTTTTTTGATCCGACAGCATCCCTTGTGCTATACATGGGGGTCATAGGTTCATCCCAGAAGGAAATCTCAGCGGAAATTTTTATCATTTTTATCGTGAATTATGCCTTGGACAAAGGTGCTCTAAAGTGTTCTTCATACATATTGTCTGCCGACCTAGGCCCGTAGAATTTTCGGTACACTCGTAAGTTCACCCAACTTTCATTTTATACGAATTTTCGCTAACTTTTTAAAGAGGCGCAGCGTGATTCATCCAAATTCATGGGTAGCTTCATCTGCTAGGTGCCTACAGGAACTGGTACAAGGACAGAATGTTCCGCTTGTTAATCATTTAAGCTGGCCGTCATTAAGCTAAGAAGCTGCTCTTTTATATCAAAGCTTCACTAAAGTATTGGTCCAAGCACTACAAAATTAATTTAGTTGCGATGGTTGGCTCTCTAGTACCGAACTACAGTAGTTTGGCAAAGCAGTCCTGAGAAGATACTTGAGTATTCGCTTTCTCGTTTAATTTCTTTTCTACAGAGAATTGCTGGAAGAGCCATTACCTGAAACCAAAGTTCGACTTTCTTCTCTTTGGCCTCCACCGCAATCTCTTCTATTGAGGTTGTGGACCATGAGCTTGCAATCATTACTGACCCGGTCGCAGAAGCGCCTGAAATCAACGGGCTGCATATCGTTGATAGAAGCCGAAGTGGAGTACTTCCAAGGGAACCCTGACAGTATCACACCTCTGGCACTGATTCTTGAAAACTTTATTTTCAAATAAGTGAAAGTCGGAACTGTATGAAATGGGAAAAGAACTCGTGTCAGGGCGGGACAGAGAGAACCGTACCGGTGGGGTCCCGCCAAAGAGGAAATGCCCGTAAGATCAAATACCGAGGAGTCGAGGGTGGTCAAGAGTACTGTAGGTGATCAGTAGTGATCAGGAGGTAGGAGACTAGAAGTAGTAAACATGCCTGGGGAAAGAAAAGGCGCGGGAAAGGCCGTATAAAGGGGGAACCTCGAGAGGGAGAGGTCGTCTTTTGTTTTTCCTCCTGCGCCCGCCGCCAGTACCCCCACGGAGTTTTGGCTCCGTGCCCTTAGACCTCAGTGACTGGCCTTAGGTGAACCTTTGTGGTTCGCGAGGGGGACTTCAGGAAGGCCTTAGTGGCCGATTTCTCTTTCGTGGGACCCCTCTGCATTCTCTCTGCCCTGACCCTCGGGGGGTTTTTGGGTTGTGTTGTATCCTTGATTTCGGTTTTTCGCATTAGTATTGTATTTGTGTTCGGAGTTTTTGTCGTTTTGTTAATAATCTATTCGTTTCTCGTGCTGTACCACACTCAAAGCAAATCACCCGTTCGGTGTAGTCCCTAGTAGGGACCCTTACACTCGAAAATGGTTTCCAGATTACTTCCAGCTAATTACTTCCAGCCAAGAACTTTGTAGCTCAGTTGGTTAACCTTCTGTGTTCAGTGGACCAGAGGCACACCGGAATTGTAGCTCAGTTGGTTAACCTTCTGTGTTCAGTGGACCAGAGGCACACCGGAAGAAAATTGTGGATAGAAGACCAAAATTAGCTTGGCTGCCATCCATTCTTAAAAACACCGATGCGAAGCAATAAACTTTTGTTCCGGAATCGGTCATCGATTATCGTTCACTGGGAAGTTCACGGCTCACCCTCAAGAACCGTAAATCTGTCTTCAAATCCGATTTCGAAAACACAACACCATGAGCCGAAGTGATGCAAGGGTAAGTGGCGCACTATCAAATGCACTTGATTCAGGTAGTGAACTTCTATCGATACCCACTCAAGCCAACCGAGCTTCCTTCATCCTTCTGGAGATGGTATCAGATTTGTCTGGGAGGTGAAAGCATAGACTTGAATAACAGCTAGCAACCAGATCTCTCACATATGCATTCAAATGCCACTACGATAGGGAATGGATGGTGAATGAGGGGCACATTCCAAAACAGGATCGTTTACCCTAAAATTCCATAGATAAGAGCGGGTGAACCTACCGGTGAAAAATGAATTGGAAAAATAGGTTCACCCGCTCTTATCTATGGAATTTTAGGGTAATATCAAAAGACTGCTTCCCGGACTCTTATATCATAGGCAGTTAAGTTATACCTTCAACTGTACTCAGTTCACCGTCTTTTGTAGCCATGCGATGGAAAGCCGTTGGAGCTATGCCAATCGGGAAGCTAAAAAATATTTACTGCTCTTAGAAATAAAGCTGGTATATCTAAATAGGAACTGACAAGCCGTAGTGTATTTCTGCCATGTTTTTTAGTTGAGACAAACGTGTACCTATGCTTCCTTCCATACCATTGCACCGATGTATCGACATGAGAAACGTCGCGTAGGCATCTGGGGCGAATCAGAAACCTTTAAGAAAGTCATATTTAACTTTTCAGAGTTCACCTTCCCCATGTTTTTTTCGTGTTTGGGCACTTACTCAAATGAGAAGACCGAATTTTGTAATGTAGGAAAGTTGTAACGGTCTGCAACGGTTAGGGTGAAGAGAAACTTTAGAAGAACAGCACAATTATCTCCGAGAAAGGGGCGTTTCTGCGCCCCTCTCTCACAAAGGAGGAGAGGGAGCGCAGGCGCAAGGAGCGCACATCTAGCCATAATCTAGGTCAAAATACTGATTTAGGTTCGGTTGTACCTTCTCCAGCTGACATCTCTGTTGTTAATCAGCCCCTTCCTCGTAATGATTTTTCTTGTCAAAGGTGAATGAGGGAAACCTCTGACAGGTCCTCGGGGCATCACTTTCAGAGTCAAGTGTATGATGTCGAACATCCGCTCTTTTGTGAAAAATTCAAATTTTGCAGTTGCACTATTACTTCATAGTAACTATGATTTAGTTTTCCTCTCGGAAACATGGTTGAAACCCAGTATTGACGCGTGTTCTCTGCTAGTCATTGCTAATTCTTTCTATAAAAATCTCGGGTGTGACCGAAGTTACAAAAAAGGGGGAGGCGTTATGGTTTTGATCGAAAACACTATCCCATTTAATTTGCTGTTCAAGGAGTCAGTAAGAGATGCTTATGAAATCTTGGTTGTTGACACGTTTTTCAATCTGGTCTCTGTCAGGCTAATATTAGTTTATCGAACCCCATCATGTAATGCGCTTGGAACTTCGTCGCTTCTCAAAACATGCCTGATATTGATTGGCAGCGAGGAAACTCCTCCTGTCCTCTTTCCAAGGAGTTCATTAACATGGCCAATTCCCACAAGTTTGACCAGTTACTGAATAAGCCGACTAGGGATAAGGCCTGTCTTGATCTTTTACTCTGCAATTTATCCTCACTCGTTCGCGAACTTAAGGTCCTTCCGCCGATAGGTTCTAGTGATCATTCTACTGTAGAGTTTCAAATTAGAGTTTCATCACGGCACAGCGGCATACGCGAGACCAAAGATTTTAAGAGAGCAAATTTTAAGGCTATAGGTGACTATCTTGCGGACATCGACTGGATTGGCTCTTTCGGAATGGCAGATACGGTGAATGATAAGTACGAAATGTTTTTGGCTATTTTGCGTCATACCATTGAAAAATTTGTTCCTACTCGAAAAATCACAGTTGGGTATCCAAAGCTTCCTGCCTATCTTGAACGTATGATTTCTCACCGCAATAATCTTTGGGTCAGCGCTTCCAGATGCGGTGGTGAGTCATCGTGGGCTTCGTTTAAAGAGTATACTCGAAAGCTTGATAAATTGATCGATAAGTACTATGCTAATCTTGAGGCTAAATTGATTCACTCAAAGGACTCCACGAAGTTGTATCGGTACATCAATGTCCGTCTGAAGGAAACTAAGAATCTCCCTGCGCTAATTCTTGACGATACTCATTTAGCTATTGAAGACCATGATAAAGCCGAACTTCTCGCGCGTTCCTTTCAGCGATCTTACACGGTGTCCGAAGGCGAAGTTTTTCCTGATTTCGCTGTTAGTTATCCTACCATGGAACCTTCGATATGGTTTTACAGAGATGAGATTTTTGAGGTGCTGTCGAAGTGGTCTAGCTCCTCTTCGGTTACCCCCGATTTTATTCCGTACGCCTTCATCAAGGGTATTCTCCCTCATATACTCTATCCATT